TCAAAATATTAGTTTAATAAAGAGATTATATTCACTTTCTCGTTATATATCTATTTTGAATAGATTATATATATATTTCTATTAAAATGTGATGAAAAATTTGAGTATGTTGTGAGAAGAAGAGGAACGATGAAAAAGAAAAGTTGTAAACTGTAGATGTTCACACGTTGATTTTCTCATGAGAATAAATTTAGAAAAATGATTAATCCTTCTTTTTATTCTTTCAATTTGTTGCAATTTCCATTTCAGGAGGAGGAAGATTTCCATTCTCATCTAGATGTTTTTTGAATGTTTTTGACAGACTCCGTGAATTACAACTTTTGCATTCGTTCTTTCGAATCTCATTTAGGATTTTGCATCTCTTTTTCTTCAATATTTTCTCTTCACTTGTCATTTAGTTTTTCTACAGTGGGGGGGGGGCTTCGCCCCCCCCCAACCCACCCCACCGGGGCCGGCGGCCCCTGGACCCTGCTTCTGCGCCCCCTCCCCTTCCCCTCCCCCTCGCCCTCAACCGGCCTTCATGACAAAAAATAGTATGTGTCATACGGACCGTGACGTCGGTTTGCGATTCGTGTGAGTTAGCAGCACTCGGCAGTCGCTAAGACAGGACGAGGCGCGCCGAAGGCTAACTTCACACTCATCGCAAACCTCCGTCTACGGTCCTAATGACACAATATACTATTACGTCATCTAGTTAGAGCATGCTAATGCTCATGCTCATGCATTATGCTGACGGCAGAAGAGAGATTATCAACGAGCGCGCCAAAAGATCCCGGTATTGCCGACGATAATTGTGGGGTCACTAACTACGAATTAGGTTGTTATTGGGCGCGTTTCGCAATCGACTTAGTAGCAGTAGCAGTACTTTAACCCTATCTAATTTCGCTTTACTGCAGCTACAGTAGTTGATTCCGAAACGTACCATTATCAAACTCAACGCAGAGGGCGCCATAGAGCCACCAGCTGATTTTTTTGGCGGGAGTGTATAAGTAGCCAATTCTATGGAGGTTGGGGCAAAATAATGTTTATCTTTGAGTATGTAGGTAATACATTTTTGAAAGAACTTTTATCGTGGGAACAGCATTAGTCTTCAACCTCGCTCTAATTACTTTTTGTCCTAAGAAACCAGTTTGTATTCATTTTTATCTGTTTAAGCTGTTGTATCATATTAGATGGAACAATAGGACATAATCATTTACCTGTAGATTCACTTTCACTAATGATTTGATTGGAAGTGAAATGATTCTCGCATAAACCTTTTCCCGGGCTCAGATCTTGAATACCAATAAAATCCAACCACTGCTAACGACTATGTGGAGATTTCGATGGGATCTGAAATCTACATTTGTTCTTGCAATTAGGGAAAGGGTGAGGGTAAACCATCGTTAATTGACTTATATCAATTCGGGGGTCCTTGAGCACACACCATTCAAATGTTTACAACAGGTTATGTTCTTTCCATCATGAGAGCCGCCATGTTATGGAAAGTCGGTAGCACCCTGGCGCCAGTAGTTCGTGAATTGGCCGAAAAACTCCCTAATTGCATGAAGGACCACATTGTCGATAAAGAGATATGTATACTCTGATAATATTGATAATATTCCGCACATTTTAAGCCCAAAATGATTCTCATAGGATCAAGAATGACGTCGGTGGAGAAAATAAACGAAACAATTTAACATTTGTATAAATGGGAGTTGCTGAGGCAAAACGTGAATATCTCGGAAACTAGAATCGACTTCCCTTTTCATGCGGAAGTCCACATATGAACTTATAGAATTGTGTTTTCTCCTATGATTATTGATTTTTATCTATGAAACTACTTTATCAACTCGATCATTACATTATTGAGTCAATGAAGTAGTTTCATAAATAAAAAATAATAATTCCAGGAGAAAATACAATTCTAAAAGTTCATATAGACACAGGGGTTCCGTTTCCCCTTAAGGGGTAACAGAATGTCGCTAATTTGTCGAATTTTTGAACAAATTTCCTGCGGAAAATTATCGATGTTTTTACAAATCCAAGCACATTAATTTCCAGGAAGCGATGATGAAGATCAATGTGCTTTGGGTTCAAAACATATTAATAACTTTGAGCAGGCCTTCTGTTAGCCCTTAAAGTAGTGTATCCAAACTCCACGTAAGTCCTTGAATGCAGTTCGGAAAAATAAATTGAAAATGCTCGAAGAAAATGCCCGCTGTCTTACCGCCGAAATGACGAAAAAGTTTCATTATAAGGCGAAAAAAAAAAATTCCAGTTCATATCATTACAGCCAGACATTCACCAGAAAAGTTTTTCTCTTGTCACGGGACCTGAAAACCCCATTTTCATGGCGCTGCGCGCCACGACATTGTTATTTTTCTGTTTCCTCGACACGAAAATTAATATACACACCTCGCCATGGAAAACATATCACCCTCCCCCACGTGCTTTTGCCATCCTCGCCTTCGGCTCAGAAGGCAATCTTGCACGTGGGGGATGGTGATCTGTTTTGCAAGGCTCGGGCATGTAATGTACTATTTCAGCCTACATTATGTCATCAGGCAATAATAGTATTTTTCTGGGCTGCTGCAATAGAGTTTTTTACTCGTGTGGCGTTGGCGTTCGAGTCGAAGGCGAGGACTGGCCAACCACACGAGTAAAAAAAACCGATCGCAGCAGCCCGGGACAAGATTTTTGTGTAGCGATTTTCAAGTTGTCGAGTTTGAGAAGTATGCAATACCAATGCCAAGACGAGAAATCGTGAGAAGGAGTACAGAAAAAGTATTATCTGACGAATGTGACTTTATAATTCGAGCCGAAGACGATGAGTACTATTATCACATGAGTCAAATAATACTTTTATCGCCGTGTGACATACTAGTATATTGTGCCCCTAGGGAGTAAAAGTACTCGCCTTCGGCTCGGGTTATAACGTCACATTCGTCAGAAAATACTTTTACTGCCGTGTGGCACACGATATTTTATGCCTCGAGGACTGAAAAGCGCGATTTAACCGAGCGAAGCGAGGTTAGAATCGCGGTTTTCCGTCCCTAGAGGCATAATAGTATACTTCAGCACGTGTGGGGCAATTTCGTCTTTAACGTGTGTGGGGTTTACAGCATGAGCCGAAGGCGAGTGATGTAACCACACACGTTAAGGACGAAATTTCCCAACAAGTACTGAACAAAATTTTATGTCACGAAGCCTGAAACCGGCTGAATTAGACGCGAGACGCGAAGCGTCGAGTGTGTAATCCATCCGGTTTCAGGCCTGAGTGGCATAAAATATTTTTTGACACTGCTACTACGTTCACCTCGGACCGAAAAGTGCCTCTTCGTTTATTTGTAAACGAAAAAGTCACAGTTCGGCCACTCGCTGACCGTAACATTATTGTCAAAATAGTATATTTCGACAGTATATTTCGAGTGAGACGGAATATTCACGAGTGTGAAGTTGGCGGCACGAGGCGAAGCCGAGCCATTACCTTCCTTCTACGATTTATTTTAGATTTTAATCATCAAAATTTGAGTTACCTTCATACTTTAAAATTTGACGAAAAATTGTCCGATACATTTCAAATTAAAAAATCCCCGAAATCAAATTCCGATTCCCCTAACGATGGTCTTGTTGGCCATTCTAGTAACGCCTAAAATAGAAAATAATGGAAGAAGAAAACACTCGTCGCATTTCCCATTCTCCAAAGACAAATGTATTTTCCACGTCCTATAAATATCGCCTCCGCGTGGGCTCTACATCCGTCAACCTAAATACGTACATTGTCACTTGTACCTCGTTTAGAAAAATCTTCCACCGTCGCGTCAGGAAAAGCCCCTCCCCCCTTCCCCTTCCGACACGAAGTCCGCTATTTTTCTTCTGCTCTGAGTGAATTACGGATGTTTGCAAACACTTGAGATTAAATTTTTCCAAATCTCAGCGATAGGTTTCAAGCTGATCCACCGGTTGAAGAGCATCGCGCGGTGCGAGTCGTGGGTAAGCATTGGGGAGATGAAGAGCTCGGCTCGTCTACCCGAAATAACCGAGAGCCAGTTGGTCTACTCCCTCTCTCATTCGTAAACCAAATTTCTTCATTCTGTTCGCAAAACTAAAAGTTCCACGTAGACCGCTGTTTTCCAACTTTATTTTTTAATTCGCGTAGAGTGTAACCGAATGTCCATCTGGCCTCTCTCGTCTCTCCACGGCCGGCTAAACGCGTGTGTAACGTTTTTTAAAAAGGGGGGGGGGTGAGAATTATTGGAAATCGACAGAATAAAGGGAGAGGAGAGAGAGAGAGGGAGACGAAGGATTGTGGAGTGGGAGAGGTTTCGGTGGGGTTTACCAAAGTGGNTTGGAAATCGACAGAATAAAGGGAGAGGAGAGAGAGAGAGAGAGAGGGAGACGAAGGATTGTGGAGTGGGAGAGGTTTCGGTGGGGTTTACCAAAGTGGAATTACAAAAGGTGTTACGAAAGCCCTCCAGTGGCCCCCAGGGGTGTGTTTAAATTCAACGTTGCGTGGAATTTTTTCCCCCCGGTGTAACCACTCCGAATCCACGAGAGGAAGAAAAATACGGAAAACGTGTGTTTACACTGCAGATAAGATTTTCTATTTTCCAGAATTCTTTCATCTCTCGATCTGTTCGTGGACCCGGGCTTATTCTGCTGTTGTGTGTCATTGGTTCTTATTAAGCACTAGAGAAGTTGAATGCTTTTGGTATCTGTGAGCTGCGGGCCAGCCACCACGGAAGTGCCTAAAATAAACTCATTTCATCTGCGGTTGTGATTCACTTGGTTTAGGCGATGCATCATTAACAACATTCATATCTCATCTATATTATCCCTTGGGCTATTCTACTCGGTCAACCTTAGATGTTTTTAAGGCATAAATTACTTGGAAAGCGAGATGCTATATGCTATCCATCGACTTTCGGTTGTTGAAACATTCATATCTCGTCCATCTATGGGCACTTTCGTGGAGGGTATAATAGCTAATTCCTCTGTAATTCACCAGTGAATTTCAGTGATTGGAAAATTAATGAAAAATAATTTACTCCATTAACAACTCGAATTTTTTCAATCTTTCTTTCCTTTAATCATTCATTGAGCACTCGGACTTTCTCGTAAATTAAAACCGATGACACACAACTGAGTATAAACTATAAGCTCCGTTTTTCACGTTGCGTTTCATTGCGTAAAACCAGGAAATATTGGATACTAAAATCGTTGAGCGCCAGTGTCGTCGTAACGGAAGTGGAAACCGACTGGTTTTCGTCGAGACTCGGAGCTACAATACGATCCCCATCCCATTCTTCAGCGAATAAATAACATAAAAGGAATAACGAGAAAACCCGGAAGAGAAGAAGAGGCCGGAGACTGCAAAGAGAGCTTCACGCCTGCGCAACGAGGAATAGAGGGGTTGTTGAATTCCAGAGGAGGATTGCTCGCCTATTCCAATATTCCAGCCGTGACAACCCCCGTCGTCCCGACTCTTCCGTGTCCGCGGGTGTCTCCAGTCGGCACACGAACCTCAACAGGAGATTGTCGCGCTGGTACCGCGATAACGACGATAAACATGCAAAGAAGAGGCTGGTTTACGTGACTGGTTGCCCTTCCTTCCCCAATAATTTTCATCGTAATTTAGTTGATTTGTTGATTAGTTGTGAATTGAAGTGAGTGACAGCGGGGTGAGTTTGGTGAATTTTTTCATCTCGAAACAGGTGTATTTGTGATACGCACGATCCGGTACACGAGGTCAGAGGATGGCTGACAGCGAGGGTGGATCCGAACAGGATGACGTATCATTCCTTCGTACGGTGAGTTTAAAATTTATGGATCACTTTACATTTTTTATCCACTCATTGCATTCCATTCAAATTCTCTTGTTTTGATTCAACTCGATAAATCCGTTCAGTCGTGATGAATCAATTTTTGCAATAGTAAACAACTCGCAACTCATTGGAATACAAAAGTAAGAGCAGTCGTTTCTCTCCGAAGAGGATACGTACTAAAAAAAATTATAGAAAAAGCTTCTTTCACTGGAAAATTCTATTGAATATCCGTAGGATTTCTGTCGGAAATTCCATTCGTTGTTGGCCGATTCTATTCAAAAATTGTTTTCAATAGAAAATATTTTGCAGAAGACATTAATAGGATTTGATTTTTCTACAGAATTTATTTTATTAAGATAGTTTCTAGAGAAGTTCTTCGACCCACATTTTCTCGATCGATTTTTTTGATAGAAGAAGAAAAAATAGGCTGGAAATTTTTTTTAAATTTATGTCAACGATTTCCTATAGAAAATATTTCGAAAAAAAAAGTTGCAGATAAAGATTGAATTTTACTAATTTCTCCTGCGAAGAAGTTTCCATTAGATATGTTCTATTAGAAAAGCGAAACGCGCGGAAAAGTGTGAAATTCGTCAATAGAATCGGTGAAAAACTAATAGAATTTTCAATATAAATTCAATTAAATTTCCTAGCGAATGCGCTAGCTTTATCTACAATTTTTTGTGGGGGGATTTTCGAGTTTTCCCACTATTAACACCACATACATTTTTCTCATAGATTCAATACTCTTTTACACAATGATCTTTACTAAAAACAAGGTACAATACAGTTTACTGATCCCATTTCGCCACTTGACTACTGAATTGTTTCCCTTTTCTTCTTCAAAAGCATAATTCACCACGATTGAAGCACCTCAACACTCCGTTGACCCTGACCGCAGCGGTGGTGTTGCGTTTTTTAAAATTTATTTTCCACACTTTTTCCAAGGTTCTGAGAGGGGTTGCATGTACACACGCACGATCGACTGCGATCCCAGCCCTATTGTTCCATCGCTCTTTTCACCCTCCATAATCGTTTTTCATCCCCGTCTGATGGAACCGTAGAGAACCCTTTAGAATTTATTTTCACACGATTGTATTGTTCTTGGAAAGCCCAGACTAATACATATCGTCACTCTCCCTCTCGTTTCATTCTATATCCACACATCACCCCAGATTGTATTGGTGCGAATGTATCGACCTTATTAAGTCAAGATATCGAGCTAATGGGAGAGAAGGGAGGGCAAGCGATTGGGTACAGGCCGTTGGTCATCTGGAGCCGATAAGGCACTTTTTATAGATCACAAAGGACTGGGTTACGTCGGAAAAACATGTACTGAGGACCTTCAACGAGTTTTATCAATTTTTTCACACGTGGTGAATCATATCCTTGGTTTTTTTTTTTTTCAATTTTTAATCCATGACATGTGGCGATCACTGCTCAAAACTAATTCTTTCTTCAATAGTTTTTTAATTCGTTGGAAAATTTTATGATTCATGATGATGCGCTAATAATTAGCTCAGGCAGTTAGATGTAGTTTGGCAACGAAGAATGAAATATGGGGTTTTTAATTCTTCATCTGACGCTCCAACTCGCAGAGATGTTCTCTTCAGGGGATTATTCATTCGACTACTATTGGATTGAAAAGTACGGGCCCCTGACTCTGAATTTGTACAGTATGAACAAAAAAATCATAGGAATATGGCAACCTCATCTTCGCTCTATGTTATTTTTACATTGTTCCGGAGGTTTTGCTCTTTACACAATTTAACTTTAGTATTTCGTAAATTTTCGCACACATGAAAAAATTTAAGAGAAAAACCTAGCGTTTTCTCTAAGAAATTTTAATGAATTTCTATTGAAACTTTATATGAATTCTCTTTAAGGTACTTCCGCAGTAAATATACTTGGTGAAAATTTCGAAATGGTATAAAGACGCAATATTTGGATCATATGTTGTTGAGCACATTCAAAAACTATTCCCAAAATTTCAAGTCCCTGGTCCACCTCATTTTTAAGACATGCATCGCCAAACATTCAATTTTTGTGTTTTTTCCATTTTTGACGATGTATATCTCGAAAATGGGGTGGACAAGGTACTTGAAATTTTGGGAATAGTTTTTGAATGTGCTCAACAACATATGATCCAAATATTGCGTCTTTATACCATTTCGAAATTTTCACCAAGTATACTTACTGCGGAAGTTCCTTAAGTTTTATCAAAATTCTATGAAAAAATTCTATTTTTTGTGCCATTTCTAGGTGCTTACAAAACTTTACTGTGCCATTTTGTTAAGAGATATTTGATAGAAAAAAGTCGATACATTTTGAATTTTCTATGGAAATTCTTATGTGTAAATTTTCGAAGTTTTTTCGGTTGTATTTTCATGTTTCTCATGATAAAATCCAAGAAAAAAAATTGGCAAAATCATGCCCAAGCTTTTTTAGGGAAGAAATTCCAGCAGACCAAGTTATATAGAAAAGGTAATATCTATAAACTTCTTTTGATAAACAAATATCGATTAAAAAAGCGCGAGTGCGATAATCTTCGATACAATTGGCGCAAGAAACTAACAGAATCTTTTCATAGAATTCTAATAAAACAATCATGATTTTCATTTTTTTATTAATAAATGTACTATTTATTCATTAAAATAGTTATCGTAATGACCCTCAAAATGAAATGTTGGGTTGGGATGATTTGTTCATGTTTCATGAACTCTAGAGTCAGCTTTGTCGCTCTTCATACGAAAAATTGTATGTGCACCGAGGAAGGAAATCAGGATATTAAAACCCGCGTATTTACCGGCCTCGGCTTCGTTTTGAGTAGTAATCTCCACGCGGCTTGAACTGTCCTGTTTTCCTCCCTGGGTGAACAATCGACTACTTTGTCATAACTGCATGGTACAGTGCGATTTTTCTTTGTAAACGCACGAAGAAATGTGGGTTATGTCATTCCGAGGATCGTCGAAAACAACAGAAATCCGAGGCCCAAAATAAGTAATTTTCCGTCCCGGCGGGCGCAAAGTTACATTTCCCTCCCGCTTCGCGGGAGGGAACTCTGACTTTGCGCCTACGCCGAGACGGAAAATCGCGTTCTAACCACGGGAAGTAAAATAAAGGACCCTCAGCCGCGTGCTTACCAACCTCGCCTTCGGCTCGGCTGGTAATTGCACTGTCGGCTGAGGTTCCGTTATTTTCCCTCCCTAGGTTAGAAATATACTATTCCTTCCGCACAGAGAAAAAAAGTGGATTAGCTTTAGAAACTAGTTTATAGATTTTAGAAACTCCTGTTCTTAAGCTTTATCCTTAGTGGGATCATAAAAATTAACCAATTGAGGGTTTGTTTTTAAGAACTAATATTTTCTAAAACCAATGCTGAATTTTTCTTAATTTTAGAAAATTTTCAGATTGAACTAAAAATCTGCGGCCGAGGTATTTAAAGGGCGTAAGTGCCCTATATATATATATAGGGAGGAGTGGTCAAATATCGGGAATTTCAGATATGAGGAGGGGGGATTTTGCAAAGAGGGGGAGAGGGTTGTGAATTGAGAATTGACAACCAAAAAAATTGAGTCGGTGAGTTTTTCAAAAATATCTCCAAAACTAAGGGAGATAGCGAATTTGTACTGAAAAAAGGGAGGGTTCTCAAGTTTTTTTTTCAATTAGTCCAAGTTATTAAAATTAAAAAATTTAAAAAAAAAACAAAAATTTCAAAAAAAATTCAAAAAAAAATGTCAAAATTGTTCAAATTTTCAAAAAAATTTAAATTCATTGGAAATTGTGGAAATTTTTGAAATTTTCTAACTTGGACAAATTGAAAAAAAATGAACCCCCTCTGCAACTTTTTCAGTAAAAATTCGCTATTTCCCTTAGTTTCTTAGATATTTTGTAAAAACTCACCGACTCCGTTTTTTTGGTTGTGAATTCTCAATGCACCCCCCCCTCCCCACCCCCAAATTTTCGTAAAAATTGGCTATCTCCCTTAGTTTTGAAGATATTTTTGAAAAACCCCAACGATAACCCACAGTTTCATAAAATACCCCTCTTTACAAGCCCCCTCCCCGAATATTACTACCCCTCTTTTTGCAAAAAAACCCCCTCAAAAATTAAAAAAATTGTCTAGATTTTAGAAAATATTTTTTCTAAAATTAAGTATATTTTGTTTTAAAATTAATCCCAATTTTGATCATTAATTTTAACCGATTTTTTTCAAAAACTTTTTTTTAAAGCTAATCCACTTTTTTCTCTGTGCGTTATTTGGGGAAGGAAATCGAAGTTTCCGTTCAGATATGACGAAATAGTATATTTCGATACGAGTGAGACTGATAATTCCCGTCTCACTTCTGTCGAACAGTATTTTGTGACAGTGATGTCACATTCAGCGAGTGGACGAACTGTGCCTTTTTCGTTTACAAGTAAACGAACATACTTTTCGTTTATGAGTAAACGAAAAGGCTTCTCGGCACGAGGTGAACGTAGCAGCAGTGTCAACAAAGTCATATCGAAGTGGGACTCGAACCCGCGCCGCACGCGTCTGGTCATCCAGCCAAGCGACGCCTTAACCACTTCGGCCACCCTTGTCGGTGGGTTGCTGACCAAATTGATTCGAGTAGCAACAAGTCTGCATCAAGTCAAACTCTCCGCAATTCGAGTGCTCTCTGTAATTTGATTGACCCCGAAAATCGACTTTATGATTGAAGCTTTCAACTACTTGAGTCAAGACCTATTTTCAATGAAGAAAGTGATAAAACCAGTTATTAAGTTCGGCATCATATATTCCTGAATTATTCCTTCATCTCCAGGACGCGGGATTGTACATAAAAATATGAACATCTCTCATAGAAAAATGTATTTCCATACTCTCATAAAATCATTCATTAAAGAGGTATTTCAATAATTACGCAGATGCGATATGATAACGCGAACATAAGTAGTTTTATCTTCCTCTATCGGATTGGCCCACCTAAATATCCAGTTAAATTCAATCATCTCCATGAATTTAATTATCCCCAAACAATGGCAGTAATCACAAGCCATTAATATCAAAACTGCAAATAGCGTCTGATGTTTGCACGGCAATTGAATTTATTCCGCAATTCAATTTCCACCATTAATAATAATCTCAATGCTCAAGCTGCATTAGCTGTGTGAACGTTTGACATTGTTTACTCTCCCGGGGATTGTAGAGCCGATAATTCGGCTAACCACGAGAAAACTCGGGCAGGTGTTATCTGCGAAGCCTGATGATACCAACGGCAGTCACCGCAACTCCCCTGCAGTAATAACGTTGGCTCCAATTTTTCCGTAACATTATGCAGGTGCCTCCATTAGACTCCCCTATCTGAAATAGGATTTTCCGTGAGTAGAACATTTGCAAAGGAGTAAATGTGATTTTAATCTGTTTACCAGGGTATTTTAATGGAGGAGTGATAAAAGGGGTTCATAATCCATCGTTTCCCAAAACTCCCAATTCCCAAAACAATGAACTATCCTTGTTTGGTAGTCACAAAATATTTTCTACGAAAAAGAACTTGGAATTTTTCTCCATGGAATACCTTATTTCCCGGACAATCCTGTCATTATCGAACATCTTTATTCGTTCTACCATTACACAGTGAAAAGAAAAATGTTCCCAAACAAGTCTTCCTTAAACAAAGAAAATCGCAAATTGATAATTGCCAAGACTGAAATTGTGTCATTTGAACAAGGAGAGAAATGTTTAGTAAAAATTACGGAACTCAGAATTCGCTCACCGATTACGGAATCGACTTAGAAAATTTAAGTGACGGTATCGTAATTTTTCACAGGAAATTCAGATAAAAATTACGGAACGTTCTGGAAAAATTCCGTGACAGTTCCGGAATTACGGAAAAGATACATCATTTTTATTGAATATTTCTCTCCGTGAACATGAGGAAATTTTCAAACATAAATAATTGCTCTACTTTCACCAACGAAATTGCCTCATGAAGCGGATCATTCATTTGCGAGATGGTACTTTTTTAGGGTGAAAAAATATTCCACAGTGTGAAGTTAACCAAGAAATATTTTGTTACTAAGTTAGTAATGACTGCTATTAATAATAATAATAATAAAGCTACTCCCTCTTGTTTTGTTTAAGGGGAGACTACTATGAGTTTTAAAAGTCGTGGATTATTGGAGTGAGACGTTTCATACGTTGAAGATCGATTATATAGATCTGAAAACGAATAATTAGTGCAAAAAAAAAATTTGTTTATTGTTCGTTTGTCCGAAAACGCTTAAAATGCGAAAAACAGTCCAGGGCCTCCAATTTTTTAGCTACAAAAGATTTTTCTTTTCAAAATTTTCGGAAAAATCTGTGGAACAACAATTACGAGCCAGTTTTTTTGGAATTTGACTCCTACACAGCTGATTTCGTTTTTTTTTCATATAACAAAATTCACTATTTGTGTGAAAAAATACAAAAAAAGCAAATTTAGTCATGTAAGAGGTGAATTAAAAAAAAACAATTCCACATATTTTTCCGAAAATTCTGAAAAAAAGAAATCATTCGTAGCTCAAAAATTGAAGGCCCTGAACTGTTTTTGGCATTTTAAGCGTTTGCGGGCAAACGAACAATAAAAAAAAATTGTTTTGCACTAATTATTCGTTTTCAGATCTATATAATCGATCTTCAACGTATGAAAAGTCTCACATCAATAACCCACGACTTTTAAAACTCACAGTAGTCTCCCCTTAAAAGGAATATTTCTCGGTAGCAACGAAATTTCCTCGAACATTTTTTATCTAAGGGCAGTCTCCGAACGTTCAGCACGAGATATTTTATTTAATAAATTTAAAATGACACACTGCATTAATCAGCATTGATCCAAAAAACCCATTATTTGATTTGAATAAATAAAAACAAATAAAAAGCATCCGTATGAAAAATTTTTATAGATTTTTTTTCACAATCAGATTTCGATCAATCAGAGCGCAGTATTTGAGGCTCTCCAACAGTTTTTTTTTTATATTTCCTCCTAGCTTTTGAATATTTCCCTGTAGTTCTTCATTTTTAACTTCCCGACCCGAAGGGAGGAAGTTATTGTAATGACCCCGAAAATCGAATGTGGAAATTTAAGCATTTCTCCACGTTTCATGACCTTTGGAACCACTTCTGACCCTTTTCAGGTACCTGTCTGTATGTGTGGATGTGTGTATGTGTGTGCGTACGTCTGTGACAAAAATTTTGTGCCACGATTCCTCCTGAACAAACGATGCGATTTGACTTTTTTTTTTTTAAATCGCTGTATTTTCATGTGACTTGAACCTGATTAGATTATGGAGACGATCGTCTCAGCGTTTCTCCAGTTTTTTCCAAAAAACATTTGGAAAAAAGTCGAAAATTAGCGTTTTTTTGTAAACGAGACCATTTCTCCGTGCATAACGATGCGATTTCAAGTTTTTTTTGTTAGAAACGATGAATCTTGATATAACGCACAAATCATGGAATACTGGAAGACATTTAATCAGCAGTTCACTAGCTTTTTTCGAAATCGATATACATTCAAGAAACAATTTTTTTCATTACATTTCAGATCGAATCTTGTATTTGACAGTCTACAGAAATCGGATTATTTTATTAACATAACTTGTTCAAATCTTTCCTAATTCACCTCCTGATGTTGTCCACTGTACTCTGTACTCCACTGTGATTGGCCAAAATCCGATTGGGAAAAATAATCCGGCAAATACCCCTCGAGCTTCAAAATTAATTGGTTATTTCCCACAAGCTCCCCAGCAAACAAACAATCATGCCAAGTTTTGCAGAAAAATTTGACACCCTCATTTATTTGCATCAAAGCTATCGGGAATTACCCGATAATTGTGAAGCCCTCGGGGTATTACTACTGAAAATATCTCTCATAAATTGAGGTTGATCAAGAAATATTTTGTTCCTAAGTTCATAATGGCTGCTCTTATATCAGCATTTTTAATCTATTTAATGATTCATTTCTTATCTTGGAGTATTGGATAGCTGAAGCGATAAACTACTCCCCCTTGTTTCGCATAAAACGAATAATTTTCGGGAACGACCAAATATTTTTTATCTCAGGGCACTCTCCAAATGTTTGGCACGAGATTTTATTTTTGGTTATTTACAATTGGTGACTTGTTCGGGATTGGTTTTTTTTCACTCTGTATATCCTTGCTTGATAATCGTTGGATCATCTCAGAAATGATTTATTTCGGAAGAAGTCATCTGAAGACTTCAAAAAAATCCCATGACACTCGTCCTGAAATATACTATTTTTCATAGTTTTTTCATCATAGTATATTTCAGTGTGGCGAAATATACTATTATATTGGGCCCAGAGAAATTACGCGTTTAAATTAAATTAAGCTTTTCGTTGGAATTTCCTCTTCATTTCAACGAAGTTTTAATTGGAAATGAATATCTTCATATATTTATTTAAATGAAAATGTTTCAATTCTATATATCAGCTGAATAATTAATTCATTTTAAATAAATCCGTTATCAAAATTGAATGAATTACTGCATCAAAAAAGTGTTCCTTCAAAAAAACCATTATTTGATTTGAATAAAAAATCAAATAAAAATCAAGTTTGAGTTTTAGTTAGAAGCTTTATTACGGGTCACATGAATAAGCCCATTTATTCGATTCACATAAAGTTTACTCAATTCAAATAAACTATTTCTCTGGGCGTGTGGCTCATTACTTCCTCTCGTTTTTACTAATGTCAGAAGAAATTAAAAGATCTTTCCGCAATGGAAAAAATTTTTCACGAGAGTCGCATGACGCTAAAACTCCTCACCCCCAAGATAATGACAATACGGAGAGAAATATTGAATAAAAATTACGTATTTTTTCCGTAATTCCGGAGTGAAATGTGGTTGTAGGAAATTTGACGGAACTGTCACGGAATTTTTCCAGAGTGTTTTGTAATTTTTACTTAAGGTGTTTCGCCGGTAGGTCACGGGGGAGGGGGGAGGTGAAACGGAAGGGGAGTCTTATTGTTCTCGAACCCTGATTCAATCACTGAGCACGAAATTTTCCAATTTTCAAGTAACTATTTAAGTGTGCATTTGAATATTTTTTGAATATTGATTTTATTCATCAGATTGATTGATGTTTTTCTCATCACCTACGGGTGTCAAATAATTTTTATTCGATGTTTTTCTGTCGAGTGTTTTCTCTCTCTCAGTTACATGCTCCAACCCATACCTTTCCCATGATGCCTACTGACATTCGAATCACGCGAGGGCATAATTGCCCCGAAACTCATAATTTTCCGAATCATTTGTTCAATTATCTTTCTTATGAAATCTGAAAAAAATCTGAAACTTATACGTGTTCTCAAGAAAGATTTAATTTATCACCCACTAGTTTTTCCTCAATAGTTCATAATTTTTTTGAGTGTCATGGAAATTTCCCTAATTAAGAGTGGGGTAACCTCGGAGGTTATAGCTGAAAGGGTTACAAAAACATCCAAATTTCATTATTTTTTTTCTTGAGACTGAGATCTGAAAAAAATCTGCAAGAATTCTTAATGATGCAGCATACTCAGAATTTTCTCTCGTAAATTTTTCTTTTTTTTCCATTATTTTGACTTTTAGGAGAACTACCTTAAATTTTCTCAGTCGATTCCGTAATCGGAGAGCGAACTGTGAGTTTCATAATTTTTACTGAACATTTCTCTCCGTGCAAGGTAATAAAAATTGTATTCTTGACTCGTCTCGTTTTACCACTTTTTCGTTTCAATTCGCCTAGCAAGATCCACGGGATCGTTTGCCGCTCCTTCTCTGTCTCTTTGCACTCTCTAGCCTCGCTCTCTTTATGTAATCCGCCTTCTCCGCCTCCGACATACTGCACCATTTCTTGCCCGCCTCCCGAGCCACTTCAGTCACCTTTTTTGACGGATTTTTGAAATACTCAGTCAGATAAAAAATGATAAAAGGATTGACGGAGCTCGGCATCTTTTTTCTCTTGGCTCTTCGTGGTTTCTTGTCAGGTTTACAGTCGCACGACCTCGATGACTTAGATTTTTGCTCGGCTTTCTTATCGGGCTCCTGCTTCTTCGGTGGACATGTACCCGCCGACGGTTTCCTGGAGAAAAAAAATTCCGTCTCTGCATTTCCCGGCCCCTCGTCGATGTTTTCACTGTAAGTCCAAGATCAAAGATTTATTTGAAGTTCTTTTATTCATCCCATTGAAGGAAAACAAAATATTATTCTTTTTTATTCACGTTTTTCTTCGCTTCTCTCTGCTAAGATTTATTTATTCGCGGATGTGTTTTCAACCCTGTGGGGCCATCGCATTGTCATAGGAAATGGCTGTTTTCATCAGACTGTCCGTAAAACGTCGTTGTCCGTGAACGCCGTTTACGGACATTGTGAAGAAAAATTATGTTCGTTACTCAACTGAAATAGCTACTTTCATCATAAGGCCGAAAAAAAACTTTTCTGGCGAATGTGAGGCTTGCAGACCGAGACGAATCAGAGGAATGCAATCACACGAGTTAGATAAGTTGTTTATGCCTCTAGGGACGGAAAACCGCGATTCTAACCTCGCTTCGCTTGGTTAAATCGCGGTTTTCAGTCCTCGAGGCATAAAATATCGTGTGCCACATGCCAGTAAAAGTATTTTCTCAGTCATGTGATTATAACCCTCGCCTTCGGCTCGGGTTATACCGTCACATTCGTCAGAAAATACTTTTACTCCCTAGGGGCACAATATACTATTACGGGCCTTCTGACGAAAAATTCATTCATTCACGGTCCAAAAGTATTTTCTGACGAATGTGATTATAGCCACATTCGTCAGAAAATACTTTGTGGATCTTGTGATGAAAATATAATTATTTCGGCCGAGTGACAAACATAATTTTATGTCATTAGGCCCGATAAAGCGCGATTCTAACATCGCTTCGCTCGGTTAGATCGCGGTTTTTGGGCCCAACGACATAAAATAGCGTATATAACACGGCGATAAAAGCATTATCTGGCGAATATGATTATAATCCTCGCCTTCGGCTCGAATTTTAAAGCCACATTCGCCAGATAATACTTTTATTGCCTTATGACATAAGATACTATTTCTTCACAATGTCCATAAACGACGTCTAACGGACACGAAGTGTCCGCAAAACTACGTTTTACGAACAGTGTGATGAAAACAACTTTTCTGACTCCTGTGATTGGAATTTTATTTTATTTTAAATACGTGCCTGTGAGAGTTAACATTATGATACGACACTCTCTTAAGAAATTTGCACGGACTATTGAAAAATATCAATTGAAAAATCCCCGACGAAGTTGCATAATTAAAAATTAATGGGAAAATAAAAATTTAATGGAAAAACCTAGTGCTTCCTCTAAGAAATTTTCTTAAGGGGAGACTACTATGAGTTTTAAAAGTCGTGGGTTATTGGAGTGAGACTTTTCATACATTGAAGATCGATTGTATAGATCTGTAAACGAATAATGAGTGGAAAACATTTTTTTTTTCATTGTTCGTTTGCCCGAAAACGCTTAAAATGCCAAAAACAGTCCAAGGCCTCCAATTTGTGAGCTACGCAGGATTTTTTTTTTCAAAATTTTCAGAAAAGTATGTGGAATAACAATTTTGAGCTAGTTTTTTTTAATTCGCCTCTTACGTATCTAAATTTTCTTTTTTTGTATTTTTTAACACAAATAGTGAATTTTTTTTATATGAAAAAAAAACGAAATCAGCTGTGTAGGAGTCGAATTCGAAAAAACTGGCTCGTAATTGTTGTTCCACAGATTTTTCCGAAAATTTTGAAAAAAAAAATCTTGTAGCTCAAAATTGGAGGCCCTGGACTGTTTTTAGCATTTTAAGCGCTTTCGGGCAAACGAACAATAAAAAAAAATTTGTTTTGCACTAATTATTCGTTTTCAGATCTATATAATCTATATAATATAATATATAATATAATTCTATAATATATATAATACAATATAATATAAATCTCACTCCAATAACCCACGACTTTTAAAACTCAGAGTAGTCTCCTCATAAGTTTTTATTGGAACTCGATAACAATTCTGTTGGAGTTCCTTTAAACTTCTATGAAATAATTCTATTGGTTCTTTTGCACCAATTTCATTGGAGATTATGCAACTCTTCTGAATCATTTTTTAATAGATATTTGATGAAAACAACTTAATAGATTTTGATTTGTCCTTCGATTTCTATAGAGAAATTCTTGGGTAAATTATTCAAGATTCTTCTGCTTTTTTTGGTTGTTTCTTATAATAAAAATCGAGAAAACAAATTTATGCCCGAGAATTGTTATGGAATAAATCCTAACAAAATGAGTTATATAGGGAAATAAAAATCTATAGAATTATTTCTATGGAACAATTTCAATTGAAAACGCCCGGTGAAGATACATAATTAAAAATTATTGGAAGCATAGAAATTTAATGAAAAACCTAGCGCTTTCTCGAAGATATGCCATTAAGATTCTGTCGGAACTCTATAAAAATTCTATTTTAGTTCTGTTAAAATTCTATAAAATAATTGTATTGGTTCTTTTGCGCCAATTCCATTGAAGATTATGCACTTCTACTATATTATTTCTTGACAAATGCTTAATAGAAATAAATCAATAAATTTAGATTTTTTCTCGATTTTTTCAATAGCAATTCTTGGGTATAAATTAGTTAAGATTTTTCCGTTTCTTTTCATTTGTATCTCATAATAAAATTCGAGAAAACCAACTGGAATTCATGCCCGGGAATTCTTATAGAAGAAATCCTAATGAAATGAGTTATATAAAAAAATAAAAATATATAGAACACTTTCTACCGAAAAGTATTGATTGAAAAACGCCCGGCGAGGTTGCATAACTTTCAATCGAATTCGCACAACAAACACAAGATATTCGGATACGGTTTCGATAGGAATTCAATGGAATTTACCAGCGAAAGCGCTAGGTTTTTTTGTTTCACAGAATTGTTGCACATGAGTAGCTAAAGTTGCGTTGAAAGCTATTGAAAGCTGAGTAGCGTTGAGCGTGGTCACTAAATGGAGTGGTGATCACGTGGGAACACCCGAGCGAGAGAATACTGTTCCATTTATTCAATGAGCCAAATAGTCTATAAATGCCATTCAAAATCGACGAATTATAAAAGCTGAATCCCAAATTGATTAAACATTTTTTTTTACAGAAAAAACGACAATATTTAATAAATTTCTCCTCTTCATTTGAGTAGACCCAATTTATCTCTACTCTGATTTTCTTATTTCATCCACTGCATAGATTTTGTTTTCGTCCCCAGTGTCTACTGGGTTGGAATATGCTCTTGATCAATCCGACGCATTGGCGCAGCGCCAAGAGTTTATATAGTCGGCTTGCGGAGAGACTGTCATTGCTGCAAGCTGTACAACAGTTGATTGATCGATTCTATCGGAATGCTCTTTTGGCTTGACCTTCGCGGTTATTTTGAATACAATCGGATCAATGCTCGGATCAAACTGTTCCATCGAACTTAATTACTACACTGTCAGAAATTTTTTGAAATTTCATAGAAGATTTTATAGTAAATCTTATGAGAGAGACATTGAATCGGATTTAGGGAAAAAATGGTTATGAAATTTCAAGTTTTAAGTAGAATTTACGGAAATTCATGAGTTATCAGTGGGAGAGAGATGGAAATTTCACAACTTGATTGAATTCAGTAGTGCAGTGGTAAACGGAGATAAGTCGATTTATCTCCTAGTTGAATTTTTGAGGAATATTTCCGAATCTAAGGGAGATAGCGAAATTTTTGTAATTACATTTGTTGTAGCACTCAATCAGCTCCACAAAAAAAAGTTTGTTAGAGATTAAGGCTAATATTAGGGCGGATTGGGGACACGTGATATGGAAAGGATGAAATTAAAGACACGCGGATGACAAAAACACTGGTGATGTACTTTATTTGTGGTGCAAGCCACGCGTCTTGATTTTAGGGACACACGAATTGGTGAATGTCTCAATGTCAATTTGATAATAGTCTTTTCACTGCACTAGAGATTCTCTCGATATTAAACTTGATGATTGACTCAAAATAATTGATAGTTAACTCGGAATTAATTGATAATTGAATCAAATAGAGACGCTACACAGAGCGCTAGACTCAATATAATACCCGGTGATGTACTCGATACTCGGTTTGTTTGATACTGTACTCTATAGGTGACTCTCGGACCAACCGATGTATACTCTTTAAGGAATAGATTGATACCACTGAAATTTCATATTTGGCAATTTGCTCCGTGATTTGCCTGTGAACCCGCAGGGTCCCGGAGTCGGTCGAGATTTTCCGTTGAGCCCGAGATGATACTTATTTGCTGCGTTTCAAACAAAGTTATAACAAAAATTTTCTCTAGATTATTCTTTAGATTCCGAGATAATGATTCAAAACTGGTCAATAATCAAAATTGACTTATCTCCTTTTACCACTTCGCTACTGAATTGTTTGCTAATTTTCCTCCAACTTTTTTCTCCGTGTAGGGAAGGGTGGGGAAAACTGAAACGACAGCGTTTTTTGCATTGTTTTTTACTTCTTCCATCGCGCTGCGGGTGATAGCGACTAGTTTTCGATACACGGAGAGAAATTTTTGATAAAAATTATCCTACCGTTCTGTAAAAGTGTATCATGAATCATCGTTTCTTCATTTCTATCCCTAAATTGAGTAAAAACTGATATATGATGATCAAATTTTATTCTACGTTAGAGAAATTTTATCCTGATAAAAATAAAAATTACTGTGCCGGTAGAGTAAAAATTACTGTACCAGTAGGGTAAAATTTACCAACCGTTCTAGAATTATGTTGGTATCTACATAAAAATTACTGGACTGGAGGGGTAAAATTTATTATGCGTCTGGATAAAATTTCTCTAACGTAGAATAAAATTTGATCATCATATATTAATTTTTACTAAATTTCGGCACAGAAATGAGGAAACAATGACTCATGATACACTTTCATAGAACGGTAGGGTAATTTTTATCAACAATTTCTCTCCGTGTAGTGGCCAGACAACCACGGGTCAAAACCCCCAAATAATCAACCATTATACCCGTTTTACCCCATTTTGCCCCGCGTTCCACTTTGCCCCGCCTTCTGCTGTGCTATCCAATTAATCTCAACAATTGAATTGAATTTCAGGGCTGAATTTCAATTTCAATCCACTTCATCGCTCTACCGGATCGCTTGAACCATTTTCGTATTTCCCACAGCATTCGAAAGATACTCGGAAACTCGAAACACGATTCAAACAGTCTACTCGAGCGCTCTGATCGATATGGCAGCAGAGAGAGATGCTTCCGTTGACTCGAGATTTTCCGGTCGGTTGCCCTCACCCTAATAATTCAACATCCCCGGCATCGAAAAATGAAGCGAGAGAAAGAATAATGTACGTGTACTTTCATAAAACGTGTAACGAAATTCAGCGATTAAATTAGCAAAAACGAAGGGTCGTGCAAAACACTTTGCCCCATCGAGGAAAATTAATTAACGTGACTGGGGGTATCGGGAATGCTAGGTGGCCGAAATATCGATAAGAATTGATTGCGCACAGAAGTTCTTCGACTGTGGCAAACTAGAGTTTCACCAAGTGCCCTGAGAGAAAAAATTTGTTCTGCTGAAGAATTATATGTTCCATACGAGAATGTTTGAGTGAAACATATTTACTTGAGGGAAATTAGCCAACTTGACAGAAAGAAATTTAAGATCTTTCACAAAAATTTAGATTTTTTATCATGACCGTTGGAAATATCCAGAGAAGATTTCAGGCTGTCGGCAAAAAAATATAACTGATTGTACCACAATCATTTGATCTGAGATAACTACGCAGGATTACATCATGGAAAGAATACATTCACAAGGAAAGAATATTTTCCGTACTGACCTTCACTTTTCCTCGTCCGGGGATTGGTATTGGCCCTTCCCCAAACTCGTAAAAGTCAAAATCACTACGGAAAAATATCGTTCACGGCTAGTGCCATGGGATTTTTTACTCGCGTGGTTGGCCAGTCCTCGCCTTCGGCTCGCACGCCAACTCCATGCGAGTAAATAACCCTATGGCACTCGCCCTGAAATATACTTTTTTTTCCTAAAGAAAAATTATTCCCATAGATATTCAGTAGCGAAGTGGTAAACCGGTTTAAGCTGATTTAAACTATTGGTCAGTTTTTAATGAATATCTCGGAACCTAAGGGCGATAGCAATTTTTTTGTAATATCCTTCTTTGTAGAGCGAAGAGCTAAGTCGACTTAAACCGGTTTACCGTTTCACTATTGAATTATTTAGCTCTGCCAATAACAGTCTTCGCAAAGAAAATTCAAGTACCCGGTGGCTTGGCGCAGTGGGTAAGTTCATTGCCTCACATGCGAAAGGTTCTGAGTTCAAATCCCCGTCGGGTAGAATGGTGCGATCTAACCATTTGAAGATTGACGTAAGCAATTTTAGCGGGAGTTTTAAACAAGAGTAAATTTTTTTATGGTCAAATGCCATGAAACTTTGGCAAAACGTTATTTGAACCATTATAAGATGATCGATCTATCGCTTAGCTCTTTGTCATATTGTCGATATCAACTAAAACATAAAAAACCAAAAAAATCGATATTGACAATATGACGAAGAGCTGAGCGATAGATCGATCATTTTATAATAGTTCAAATAGCGTTTTGCCAAAGTTTCATGGCATTTGACCATAAAAAAATTTACTCTTGTAAAAAAGATGCTTAAAGTCAACCTTAAAGTCTTGATCGTCATCGCAGTATACCCTAACCGAGTCGAAGCGATGTACAATAACGATAAAAAAAAAAATTCAAGTTTGTTCTTAAAATTATCATTAATTTTATACTGAGAAAAAATGTTCTCAATATGTAGATCATACTTCAGAGAAGTTAATTATTTTCAATTGCTTAAAACTCTGAATATTTGCGCTTCACGGAATTCGAATAAATTTCCGTTTATTACTATCATTTCACGTTACATTACGAATATATTACAAAAAGAATGAATTCTTAATTTTTTATGAAAAAATCCATGGAAGCTGTAAATTTCAGTTCAATTATTCCGTGGAAATTGACAGAAAGCACGAAAATTTAGGTGAAATATACTTTTGAATTTTCAATCAATTGTAAATTCAGCGTAATTCAGTGCTGAATATTTATGTTGTAATTGAAAATTCAAGTAATATGGGAAGTTCTCGACTTCCTGCTGTTAAAAATTTAAAATTCCATTGAATTTGTAGTGAAATGTAAATGTATATGTATTTTCGTGAGAATAAGGGTCGATAAAATCGCGATTCTAACCTCGCTTCACGTATGAAAAAATCGTATAGAAATTTTCTATACGGATTGCGTATAGAATTCTATAGGATTTTCGTATATGATATTCGGATATTTCTATACGGATATTTTTTATACAAATTATTTCTATACGATTTCTATAGGTTTGATCCTATACGACCCACTTCCTCATGTATAGAAACATTTCGTTAGGAGTTGCGACATTTCTCTACGTTTTTCTCTGGAGCGTTTAGACATCGTCTATATGAAAACAAAAGTTTATGTAAATATTTATGTATAGAAATAATTCGTATAGAAAATATTCGTATAGAAATATCCGAATATCATATACGGTAATCGTATAGAATTTTTATACACAATCCGTGTAGAAAGTTCCTATACAATTTTTTCATACGTGTTCGTTCGGTTAGATCGCGGTTTACGGGCCTTCTGACGAACCATTGCATTTATCACACGGTCCAAAAGTATTTTCTGACGAATGTGATTATACAAAGCCACATTCATCAGAAAATACTTTGTGGACCTTGTGATGAAAATAACTATTTTAGTTTTTTCTTCTCCTTTTCTTGAATCGTATTAAACGGCGCTTTCTAAATATTACTACTAAACTGTCCATGAAATTTAAATAAATTTCTAACAGGGTATACTTAGTATAGGCTTCGTATAAGATACCTTAGGGGCAGTAGGAGAGTGGAATTCCGGGAACCCCTACGCCCCCACTACGCGCGCCCATAGAGGCGAAAAATAGGGATCAGCGGGTTTGAAATAAGATACCTCGCTCATTGCACCCGAATTCAATGAAATTTTTCATCTTTACTGAATGAATATTGATAACTAATCAATTTATGTGTTTAATGTTTTGAATTTGTATTGCCCGCGTTCCCTTTTCTTTCTAAACATAACCCCGCGTGATAGAATGGCAACTGATGTTGGGGGATTGTTGCTGGACTCGAGAATAATCACTGATGAAAAATTACGATTTTTCGATGGGAAAAGGAAAAAAAAATCGATGAATATTTTCAGTACTTGATAAAAAAGGTGTGACCCCCCCTTAAGGTCATTAGACCCTCATGATTACTTCGTTCGTCCCTCCCGTTTGTTCTAAACATTAAATTGGTATTATGTAAGACATGGAACGAAATTACAAAACTCATGCAGAGAATTTTACTGTACACGGAGAGAAATTTTTGATAAAAATTATCCTACCGTTCCATAAAAGTTTATTATGAGTCACTGTTTCCTCATTTCTATCCCGAAATTTAGTAAAAATTAATATATGATGATCAAATTTTATTCTACGATAGAGAAATTTTATCCTGATGAAAATAAAAATTACCGTGCCGGTAGAGTAAAAATTACTGTACCGGTAGGGTAAAATTTACCAACCGTTCTAGAATTTTCGTTGTTATCTACATAAAAATTCTTGGATTGGAAAGGTGAAATTCATTATGCGTCAGGATAAAATTTCTCCAACGTAGAATAAAATTTGATCATCATATATTAATTTTTACTAAATTTCGGAATAGAAATGAGGAAACGATGACTCATTTAACACTTTTATAGAACGGTAGGATAATTTTGATCAAAAAGTGCTCTCCGTGTACGGAGTGAGATCATTTTGGCTGCCATAAGAGTTATTTTTTCACTTGACGGAGTGTACATTTTCCTTCACGCCGAAGCTTTCGTATTGAAGTACCATTACCTTTACGAAAAAATTAAAGATTATTAAAAACTGCAGAGAATTTTAAAAAACTGGATGAAATTTGGAATCTTTTTTTTTTCCCTCAATTCAATGATCGTTTTCGCTTTTGAAAGAAAAAAAAATATTGAAAAATCAAGATTTACCGTACGTCTTATGTGACAATCAACATTTTCATCATGATTAAAGACTACACTGAGAAAAAAAATATAAACCAAATTTAATTGACAGAATTGATTTTTTTTTTCAGTGTAAAATCCGGTTTTGTTTCATTAGATGTGAAAAAAACTAAAATTTTCACCTTCTGATAAAAGCGATAGACCGTTTTGTAAGCAAGTTCCCGTATTTATCAATGAGATAAAAATATTTTGGAAGAATATAAATATTCTGCAAAAGGTAATTTGACTGTCACTGATTAGGCAGGAATTTTTTCACATTTTTCGCATGCAATTTAGTTGGAAAATTCGAAAACTGAATATATCCAAATCGACAGCACAGCCCGTTGAAAGTGTAGAGCTATTTTAAATTCCATTTCACTCCACAATTACATGTCACACTGTAAAATTTTCTGTGATTTTCTGGATAATTTTTCGCTAACTGTTCTTTGTATGTATTAAGAAATTCACCGTTAAACTGCTCTGATAGATCATTTCCTCCGGAAATTCAAATATGTCATTGCAAATATTTCATCTCAGTCGATGAAGTTGAAGCAAGGACGGTGGCGGTGTGTGTGTGTGTGTGTGTGTGTGGGGGGGGGGGCGGAGAAGTTGATATAGTTGAAAATACATCAATTACTGGAGGTTAACTCATCTCTCCGAAAACGAATTGACCTTGGATTTGAATTCGATCATTGAAATCAACATTCATCCCTTGAATTACTTGCCTGTAGTCGCGTCCGTCGCTCTCATAATCATCCATTACTGCCCCTGGTAAATTTGAACGATGAGAAATTCGAAAAATGATCGTTTACACTTGAAAATTTGCGGTTAAAACCAAAAACCATGAACTCTGCTTTCAATCGATGCATTTTGAAACAAGTGAAGCTTCACAGAGAAAAAAACTGGATTAGCTTTAAAAATTAGTTTCTAGATTTTAGAAACTTCAATTTTTAAGCTTTATCCTTGGTGAGATCATAAAAACTGATGAATTTGCGGATTGTTTTTAAGAACTAATATTTTCTAAAACCAATGCTGAATTTTTCTTGATTTTAGAAAATTTTCAGATTGAGCTAAACAATTGCGGCCAAGGTATTTAAAGGGCGTAAGTTCCCCATACATAGGGAGGGGTGGCCAAATATTGGGAATTTCAGATGTGAGGAGGGGGAATTTTGCGAAGAGGGGAAGGAGGGGGTGTGCATTGAGAATTCACGACCAAAAAAAATTACGTCGGTGAGTTTTTCAAAAATATCTCCAAAACTATGAGAGATAGCCAATTTTTACTGAAAAATTGGAAGGAGGGGAAGTTTTATTGAATTCTCGATGTACATCCCCCCCCAAATGTATAGCAAGTAGGCAATTGTTCTTGTATTGTATATACTATAACTATTTTTGCTAATAAATTAGCAATGTGCTTCCGAATGGTAATTTTACACATAATTTCCTTCTACCATGTATAATTCACTCATTGTTTATTCAATTTTATTAAATTGAATAAGATTTCCTTTTACATAATTTTCACAGATTTTCAACTTAGTTGAATGGTATCAGCATCATTATTCTTGTAATCCTTTTTCTTCTATACAACCAATTGTCTTTTTTACAGTTCTATCTCTCCTCTCAGCCCTTCGATAAAATGTTAATAGAAAAATTTTCTTTACACATACTTGAATGAATTTGAAACATCACATTTGCAGAAACCATCAGAAAGCTAACTTTCAGGGAAATTCATGAAAAATTTTAAATTTTCAACATTCATCATTAAAATCAAATCGACCAATATAGCTATCATTATCATCTTTTAACTTCGATGTAATGGCATTAAAACAAACTTTTTAAGCTATGATTGAATTTATTTGCATAGCTTAATAATATTATAAGATAGCATAATATTCAAAGATGTCCCCGGAATTACGATTTTCAAAAAATACAAAATTTTTGCAAATTTTCAAATAAATAAAAATAACGATTATTGCTATCGCCTTTATCTTCGGACTCGGTCCAAAGGACATTCAAACAATTTTTTTAGCCCATCCTTCAATCAATTCAGAACATTTGTTTTTAGTTATCGTGGGACAACCGATTTTCGAAAAAATTCAAAAATTACAAAAACTAATTGGTGAATTGAATTTTGATTAGTGGCGACCGATAAGGCTCGACAATACCTTTGAAAAAACCTACATTTGAAAAAAAAGATTCAATTCCATCCGTTCATTAGCGAACAATTGAAGAAAAATTTTGTTACATTCGTACACATATACATACACATGGACGGGCGAGGTCTAAAAATTGCATTTTCGAACTTTTTGGATCATACTGGGTCGATATAACACAAAAAATCCAAAACTTAAATTTGAACGCTCACGGAATTCATTAAATGCTTCCATTCAGAAGCAAAAAAAATTAATTTGATCTCTGGGGCGTGTAAATAACGATAAATTTCTAACTAATAAAATATTCATTTCGATAAAGAAGACATTTGTTTATATTCAGAAAACTATTTTTTTTATGTGAATGAAGCAGAAGTTTAAGTTTGAATAAAAGGTTTATTACGAGCTATTTGAATAACTCCATTAATTTGATTTTAATAAAGTTTATTCAATTGAAATGAACCACTTCTCTGTGTGCATCGACGTTCTCCCTCAACGTGGATGTGGTTTTAATCGATTATTCTCACTTGAATTCAAGTGACATTGATTAATTCCAATCGAGTAGAATTTGACATTCATTATGTTGAAGTAATCCGAAAATGTAATTTCGCGAAAACCAATTATCCTCCAGTGATTGCCCCACTTGGATGTTCCCAAAGGACACCTAGAACTACGAGAAAATCTCGAGAAAATGTCGTTCAGTATAACCTTGACTCGACCATTGCAAATAGAAAAAATTTATGGTAAAATCGATAGAAGAGTTTAATACTCAAGAAACGCGTGAACGTTTCTCTTCATTTTATTTTTTTGAGTGAAATAAAACGGCTGCTAGATAGAATTGTAGGAACGTTTAGGCTTATCGTTGTTGGTGGAGATATCGTGAAAATGGAATTGTCGATAGACTTATTTCCCATGCCTGGAGCATAGTCCAGTGGAAAGTACATAATGTGAACACCAGAGATGTTGGTTTCCAAGGAAAATAGGTCAATGCTACCCGAATAATCATCGGCGATTTGCGAGACTATCTCGCTCGTTTCACGGAGGTTTTTACTTTTTGAAAGCTCCAGGGAAAAAATAAAATATTGAAAATTCCTATGGCGAAATCTGCACATAGTAAGGACTCCCACAGTTTAGTAACACGGATGAAAAAAATTAATAGAAAAACCTAGTGAATTCGCTAGACAATTCTATTGGATTTCTATTGTACTTTCTGTTAGTTTTTGGCCGATTCTGTTGAAATATTTAATAGAAAATATTCCCTTTGATAAAAAATCCAATGTAACATTTTTTAACGCCAATCTTTCCGCCTAACGTGTTCTTTCTTTATCAGTATACTGTCATATAATATCTTATAATGCATTATATATAATATAGTTATAGTATATATAGTATGCTATAATATATTTACAAAAATTAGAAAAATAATAATACTTTTCTTTTTAAGAATTTTCTTATAATAAATAACGTAAAATAGATTAGTCATAAAATTAATTTAAAGTAAATAACATATAAATACTATAATATATATAGTATAAATATTATGTTATGTATCATACAATATAATATAATATAATATATACATACTAAAGTAAATAGAAAAAAGAATTAAGTTTCAGTATTCTAAATAGCAAATTTTCAACACTGTTTTTAAAAACAAATAATTCGCAATCTTGCCTCAATTCATGATGATTTTGTTTTGGTTTTTTGCCTACAGAGAATACTTGGGATTTTTCGTAATAAATCAAATCCCTGTTCGACCGAATCTTGATACTGCCACTTCATCACAAATGATTTCGAATTTGAATTGAATACTCATCCCCTTGGTAATTGAAAAAACGAAAAAAACCCGTTCGTTCTTCGAGAGGTTGGTAAATTTTTTGTCTTCAAAAGTTCTTATCTCAAAATCGCAATTGTGTTTTTTCACTCCATTTGTGTGCACTGAGAGAAAAATCTGAAGTTCGATTTACTAAAAGAAAATAGTTGAGGCATTTTGGTGAACGATACGATTTTTTTTGTATGCGGCACATAACATTATAGTAACTTCACAAGCGTAATTTTTGCAAATCAAAATGCAGTTAAACTAACCCAAGTTCAAAAGTAACCACGACAAATCTATCGTGAGGAGAACTATAAAATAGTTGCAATGACTACATTCAATTGTAGTAATTACTTCTCCGGCCATAGTTACCGTAACCCATGAAAAATTGTTGAGGACTTTTTGACTGTAATTCGATGGTGTTGGAGTATAGTCAGAAGAATTATATTTTTCTCTCAGTGTGTGAACCTGGATAATCCAAATACCAATGATTCTTATGGAGTGAATATATTGTGGAAGAACCTAATGGACTTCAACATAAGCTCTACCACAATTATATTAAGTTTTAATATTAGTGGAAATCCATCGAAAACATCTATATCTCGGCTCTACCAATTCCTGAGGTCCGTACGGTAGAGAATACGCGCAAGGAGCGCGTGGTCTATTCTAGTCTATAGAAAAAGTCAATACACGGAAACAAAATATAACTGAATTGACTATATTTTATACCAGAATCAAGTATATGCACAAACCTGATTCAATGTAGACCCTATTTACTTGAGAGCAATAAATTATTTTCCTCAGGCTGTGGCGAAAAGTGAACTTTTCGGCACGCTCCGCGTGCCTAAAAGTCCAATTTCCGCCACATTGTGATGAAAAATATTGTTCGTAAGTCGTAAAAAAATGTTTTTTAGCTCGTGGGATTATATCACTCGCCTTCGGCTCGTGATATAAACCTCCCACTTGCCAAAAAACACTTTTTTGCACTCGTTACGAAATATACTATCTCAATGGTATGATCTCAGAGAGTTTGCGCTTCACGAAACACAAATAATTTTTCGCTCATCACTGTTGTTCTGTATTACATCATGAATAGATTAAGTACATATCGAAACATTGAAAGTGCATAAAAAAATCATTAAAAAATAAATACTTGAGCATTGTCGACTTTTCTACGCGATTTGAGGGAGTTCATTTGCAACAAAATCATACTTAAATACAAGCATATTTTAAAGGATAAGACCTATCTCGGGCGACGTGAGTTGAACTGCCTGCACGGAGAGAAATATTCAATAAAAATTACGTATCTTTCCCGTAATTCCGGAGCGAAATGTGGTTGTAGGAAATTTTACGGAACAGTCACGGAATTTTTCCGGAGCGTTTCGTAATTTTTATCTGAATTTCCTGTGAAAAATTACGATACCGGCACTTAAATTTTCTGAGTCGATTCCGTAATCGGTGACTGAATTCTGAGTTCCGTAATTTTTACTAAACATTTCTCTCCGTATGGAAGAATTAAGGATATCCAATTACTCTGGTTATTTTTTCTCCAGTGAAATGCTTTTCTACTTTTGTAGTCGAACATCAGAGCTTTCATTTCAGCCCCATTTGGCCCCAAGTTTCCGGACATTTTACAATGTTTTTATTATTTAAATTTTCAGGTCTGAATTTGAAACTCGACATTGAACTGTTAGAAAACATTTTAAAAATCTAAAAAAAAATTGGAAAGTTTAAAATTTTGGTAAAAATTGATGAAATAATTTAAAAATTGCAATTTTTAAAATTACGAGCATTTTC